CGCAGTATGGCATAAAGAAAATATAATTTGAGGAATAGATAAAATGTAGCTTCACAATTAAAATGAATATTTTTTTGTTCATGTGTCATTGCATGATGGGGATTGATTTGTCATCTAATCTAGTAAGGAACCTATACTACAAGTTTATCATAAGGTAATGTTTGGACTGAATATGATCCTCTGCATTATGAACCCTTGTACTAAGATTTTTGAGGATGGATGACTTTATTCTTAAATTCGGATAACCCAATTTTCTGGTTTGTCTTCTAGCAGCAATGAATGCTCCTGAAAATCTGGAGGAGTGCCCCATCTTTCTTAATATTTTTTTCACACTTACCAGAGGGTGGAATACAAAATCTCATAAGGATAATAGGAAGGTTAATAAATCCTCTGCAAGTCAGCACTCTCAACTGCCAGATTCTTTTTTCTCAAGGATCTGCATACTAGCACAATGGAGGTACCTTGAGATGTGAACATTTCAGCTCCTCTCAGTTAATTCTTAATAGAAACATAAGAAAGATCATCCTAAATAATAATGAAAATTCACTGAATAGTAAAACCAAAGCTAATTACAAAAATGCAGGGGTTATGCATAGGTGGCGAAATATTATATTTCCATGACAGTAGCTAGGATATCCCAAAAAGAGAAAGGATTACAGTATGCAGTGCTTTTTTTGTAAAAAAAAAAAAAGGGGGGGGAGGGGTGCCAGAACTCACACATGTCATATAACCCACTTTGCCTACCCTACAAGGTTCCATCCAAAAAAGGTGCCGGAACTCTGTTCTGGGCGTTCTGTGACAAAAAAAGCCCTGACAGTATGACTTGGCTACCAACTAAAGCTGGTTTTTAGGTATTTTATTTTAAGTAAGCACAGGATTGGAAAGAACAGTGGCAAATGACAGTCAGTTTAACCCAGTGGCTCTCTTCTAGAGTAAGAGCCTTTGGTCTGAATTTGACAAATCTACAAGTTGTTTTGACTAACACAGTTCCAGTTCCATTTTGCTTGAAAACATACCCTACTGAGCTTGTTGAGGCCATTTCCAAAGCAAAGGTTCCCACCTTATTATGACAAACTGAACAAAATGGAATAAAGAGCCTTTGTTCATTTGCCTCCACAGACTAGCACTGGCAATTTCTGCAAGCGATGATAAAATTTGCTCCCATTGAAGTCAGCAGAAAATAGCAAGATGGAAATAGAATAGTTCCTGTGTTGAACCAAGGATGGGCAGAATGCCCTATTTCCACTCCCTGGCATTTAAAACTTTTCATTGGGGAGTGTTTTGTGGAATGCAGCAAAATAAGCAGCAGTCTGCTGCTCTGATCCTCAGCACAATTGGAAGCAACTTATCTTGCAATGTGTTCAAAATCTAAGTGTCAGCCATGGCCATCTGTAGCCATTGGTTACCATTTTGTCTTCTTGGAATCAGCAGCTTTCTCTGTAGTAAGCATGTCAAGTTTGCCATAAGTTTTAAATTGATGTCTTGAACTAAGGAAGGAGTAGCATAAAAGAGCAAGTTTTCTAGCCACATTTTGCTTTGTTTTACATTTCTACTCATGTCAAGACATTTTTCAGTAAAACACTTCGTAGGTTATTGCTTCAGTCAAGGAAAAATTCACACATTTCATTTAATAATAGTGTGAGAACATGAGATGGGCAACTATATCACCTCCTATTTGGATTCTCCCTCAATGGGCAATTGGCTGACACATTAAGAGGCAGTGATCTGTGAGAACTGATCATGCAATAACTAGTGGTAACAGATTTACACATTCACGTTATCAAGCAATCGTTGCAATTATCACATTGATAACATATTGTATACTTACTGAGTTATCAGTAAACAATGTGTTTTTATATTTTAGAATAATTAGTCTTGAAAACTAACTTCTTTAAAATAAGCAGAGGATTTGGAAATTAACACTGAGGCTTTTATTATTATTATTTCTATTTGAAATGAGTCGTTCTATTTGACTCTTGGTGAAGCAATGCTAAACAAGCTCATAGTTTGAAAGAGTAGGCTGTTGTCTCACTTTCTGATCATAGGAATGCTTGCTTATCAAAACTAAACCAATTTTTGGGAAAGGTTAAATAGCATACCGAATAGGTAATATTATGGTAGAACATACAATAGGTAGTATTGTGGCATATACTCAATCAAAATGAAGCCCAAATTGTTTTTCTAGGGTTATGAGCAGTCTTCTAATGATATTAACAGCATAACAAGAGTTAGAAGCCCAGAAGTTATTAAGTGCATGGGAATCTTCCTGATATCATTGAGGCATTTGTGTACAGGATTACTGACAGCTACTACAGCCTCGATCAATTCATTTCAATGGAATTTAACATCAAGGTTAGATCTGGAAGAAATCGACTCTTATTTCCCTCCTGTAACTTGCAGGCACTATGGGATCTCCTCTGGTGATCTGCCCTGAAAGCATATGAAGAAGACAAGACTAGAAAGCTTCATTGCACTTATGCATTAAGCCTCAGTGTACGATTTACAATTTATTTTCCCCATTTAATGTTTTTTTTAATCCAAATATTCATTATTTTAAAAGAAGTTAAGAATTCATTTTAAAATGTTGAGCTTATATACCCTGCTAGTAATATTTATTTATTCATATTTTTTTAATGTATTTGTAGTTTGAGTTTTTTGCATCTTTAGATCATAAATTGACTATACAGATTGCAGTTGGGAAAAAAAATCTTGGGAACATTTTGGGTCTTTAAAAGGAACATAAAGCTTCCCAATTAACCCTTGACAGGAGGTTCATTACAAGCTTTGTAATCCCTTGCCAAGTCTTTTGTGTAGCGAAACTAGCCTAGTACCAAGGATTTAAAAAGCTTAATCCAAACATGGAGGGGGAGGTTAAATAAAAAAAAAACATTTATTCAGTTTTAAGACTTACATTATCCTTCGAAGCAGGTACTTTTAGCTACACCCTACACACAAATACACAAATGCTTGTGATATTGATTGCCCGTAGAAAAAAGGAATACATTCCTCATTGACTCATTTTCTGATCTGAGTTAGAGCAGGTTTGGGCAGTCAGGAAATTTCATAGAAACACACACACTCACACACACCGCATACACACACATTGTGGCAGCAATGAATAGGGCTACAAAAGCATGTTTTTTGACACTCTTGGGCCCTTCCTCTTTGTTACATAAATAGAGATGCTAAATAATAGAGATGCCTAATATTTATTCCAGCAAAGGACTAACTTAGCTACTTTATAGGCACAAGATCCATAGATAAACATTAGGGAGAAAAAAAGCACTTGTCTTTCAAAAGGAAATATAAGAACATAGATTTAAAAAAAAAAACTGGGAAAAATCCTCCAGTGATAAGAGATTTTTAACAGGGAAAGAGACTGCTCTGGAAAATGATGGTTTCTCCTTTATTGGAGGTGTTTAAACAGAGAATAGATGGATACACAACTGTCAGGGAAGCTATAAAGGCGGATTGAATAGACATCTGGAGTAGATGAGTTTCAAAGTCCCTGCAAATGGTTGCCCACTATGGAGGGCAAAAGATGTTGATCGTTCTTTTCAATCTTGAATAAGATCTTTGCAGAAAAGCCATTAGGAAATTGCCTTCTTGACTATTAGTATCTCATCTCTTTACACACTAAAGCTGATACAATATTGTGTCCTAGGCTAATGGATTTGGGGCTGGGTGGCTATATAAGTGTTTTAAATGAATAAATAAATTAGATATTATAATAGTGGTGTCAAACATCCTTATCCAGAATTATAATCTTTGGTTCTGGTGACTGTTTATTAAAATATGAAGCATTTTGATTTAAGCTGGTCTTATGCTTACATTGTTTGCAAATCAGGGGAAATCTACCACTTGTTCAGATAAGTACTTAATGAGTTCAATATTAGCAACAGTGATTGTTCATGTTAAAAGAAAGTACATCCTTTTGGTAGTGATCTAGATACAGTAGGTTATTGTTTGTCCGCTTTAACAAGATCTTTGATACTTCCCCAGGGAAAAAAATATCATTTCTATTAAAGCTACTGTTCCTCATATTTCTTATATGTCACCTCTCACCTTTAATTTACTAATTGATGAACACATGGGGTTTCCAAGGTTTAGACTGGGATGGGAATTTAAAGAAAACATCTTGGAAGAAAACAATGGAAACCTACTTTAGTAAATCTATCAAGAAAACGATAGGAGTCAAGCATGACTCAGGGGTACTGTTCTTTTCATCTGAATTGTTGACTGGGCATGTGCTTGTTTCAGAAGCACACAAGCAGCCATTCTCCACCCCCCTGCACTTCCAAAAGTCTACCAAGATTAATGATACTCCCAGTAGATGAACCTCAAAAGCTACAATATTCAGTAACTTTAGTTTTGCACCTCCACCATGAATGATCACAAGCAGTGCTTTTTTTCTAAAAAAAAAAAAAAAAGTGCCAGAACTCACACACATCATACAACCTGCCTTGCTTACCCTATAATGTTCCATCCCAAAAAGGTGCCGGAACTCCGTTCTGGGTGTTCTATGAGAAAAAAAGCCCTGATCACAAGTATTTCTTGATCTGTATGTGGGTAGTTTAAGCACGTCCTGGTGAAAAATGGTGTTTATGATAACAAAATATCTCCACAATGGTTTCTAAAATAATGATATGTGAAGTTGTATGGTTTCCATCCAAAGGCAGAGGCACAGCCAGAACCTCTTAGCTCATTAGCTTCGATTTAAAGTTGGGTGTTGTAATCCACACAATTCAGGTGTTTTGATCAGCAGGATTAAGTAGTGTTCAGGGAAGATCAAAATAAGGGAGTAGATTCTCTGTTCAGAGGCTCATACATGCAACAAAGTCTGCAGGACACATCAGCAATTTCAAATGTTTGTAATTGAAATGATACTATTTATTCACACTATTTTTTAATTAAGAGTGTAAAGAAATACACGCTCTGGATTACAGGGGTGATGATTCATAAGACAGCTTTCAAGTTATTCATAGTGTTTTTTCCTTCAGGCCTGATGGAATAGGAACAGTAACAGTAGAAGAAAAAGAGCGGTTTGAAGAAATCAAAGAGCGGCTGCGATTGTTATTGGAAAATCAAATCACGCATTTTAGGTAATAATGTCTATTTCAGTTTCCAAATCTGGAGTCATGTCCTCAAGTTTCCACCATTGGAGTTGTCATGGCTTGCTTAATGAATTAGTAGCAATTAGTTAAGAGTTGCAGCAGAATGCTTAATAGAAGAACTGCAATTGTAAGTTTAAAATTTATCATTATCCCAAGGTGATCCAGTTCCACTTAAATTTATTAATGGTTGAAATATATTGTTATGTGAGTAATATTCCATTTAGGAATGGAGGGCTTCCTAAAAAAGAGAGTCCTTAAGACTGTCTCTTCCTCCTTAAAGTCTCCTAACCTAAAGTTCTTCTTGGGAGGGTTTTGTGATCTTCTTGGATGTATCTTGAGAAGAGGGAATATAGAAGGAAGGGGAAATCTTGCTTTTTGAATCAGTAGATGACAGCCATTCCCTCAGAGGAAATAACCCAAATGTTTTTACTAGAACTTCAATCATCCCATCAGAGCCATCATCTTGACTTTTGTGATCATATCCATATACAGATACAGGTAGTCCTTGAAATATAACAGAGGTCTTCAAACTTGGTCCTTTTATGACTTGTGGACCAACTCCCAGAATTCCTCAGCCAGCGGGCCTGGCTGAGGAATTCTGGGAGTTGAAGCCCATAAGTCATAAAAGAGCCAAGTTTGAAGACCCCTGACCTATAACCATTCATATAGTGACTGTTCAAAGTTACAATGATGCTGGAAAAGGTGACTTATGTCTGGTCATCACACTTGTGACCATCACAGCATCCCCACAGTCATATGTCCAAAATGTGGGCAGTTGGCAACCAGCATGTATTTACAATGGTTGCAGCATCCTGGGGCCATATGATTACCTTCTTAGTTGGCTTCCAACAAGCAAAGTCAATGGGGAAGCTGGATTTGCTTAATGGCCGCCTAAGTCACTTAACAACTACAGTGATTCATTTAACAATTGAGGCAAAAAAGGTGGTAAAATCAGGCACAATTCATTTAGCAACCACTGTGCTTAGCAAAAGATATTCTGGTCCCAATTGCAGTCATAAGACTACCTATATTAATTAAAAGTGATGCTATGATGATGAGCAAGCTTTGGCTCACATTTTGTGTTTAAATCCAAAACAGCTGTTTTCTTTATCTAGGGACAGTGACTGGGACATGATGTGGTCATATTATACCATATTATTCTCTGTTGTTGTTTTTTTACTTCCTTTTGCCTATTTCCTTACTACTAGCAATTCTCTACTCTTTTTCCTCATGCCCTTTCCTCTCTTTGATTCAAGCATGGAGAAGCCCATTTTCTCTGAAACAGTCATGCAGTTACAGGACTAATAGGTATCCCTGCTCCTAACTCATCTTACATGTAGCAATGAGCCATGATACAAAATCCAGTTTCCAAAAGCAATCATCAAATTATTAATTTGAAGAAATCAAAAGAGATCTATACAAAATAGGAAAGCCGGTACAATTCTCTTGATTGGTATTCCCTCTGTTCTACTCTAAACATCATTTCCAGTTTGAAATCCTCAGTTGTCTCAGTTGCTTTCCTGATAGAACTCCAAGTATCATATCAAGAGAATATTTGTGAGTACAAAACATATACCCATCCCCCAGCTAATCTGGGAATTAATCAACATTGCTCACATTTATTGGAATGATAGTAGCACTCCACAGTCTCAACAAATAAAATTGTAATGGTATAAATTATATGTGAAGTAATGCTGGATCTAGCCATAACTCATTTCATGTGTTTAACCAAGATTTCAATTTATCTGAGCCTTACACATCTTTTTCATTTATTAAAAATTCTTGATTTTTTTAAAGCGTGCATTAACTTAAATGTTCAACTCGATTACTGTAGTTTCATTTAAGCCAGTGCTTATTGGCACAGGAATTCAAATGAAAGTAGGCAGGGAAAGTTACTCTTTTTGTCAAATTGATGTAAATATATAAAGTAATATGTAGTAAAAATATTTTTAAAAAACCATGTATTATTTCTAGGTATTGCTTCCCATTTGGCCGACCAGAAGGAGCTTTAAAAGCTACTTTATCACTCCTGGAACGGGTAAGCATAAGACCAATATCTCAGGGGCTGCCACAAAGAAGAGGGGGGTCAACCTATTCTCCAAAGCACCTGAAGGCAGGAAAGGAAGCAATGGATGGAAACTAATCAAAGAGAGAAGCAACCTAGAACTAAGAAGGAATTCTTAGTTAGAACAATTAATCAGTGGAACAACTTGCCTCCAGTAGTTGTGGATGCTCCACAACTGCAAGTTTTTAAGAAGAGACTGGACAACCATTTGTCTGAAATGGTACAGGGTTTCCTGCCTGAGCAGGGGGTTGGACTAGAAGACCTCCAAGGTCTCTTCCAACTCTCTATTATTTTGTTAAGATTATTGAAAGGCTAAGGCAGTGACTTAGTTTCCATATTTGGCCGTCTTCATCTAGTAGAATTTAAGTTGGTTTGGATTATATTGGGTTGAAGAGAGGAAGTTAATTTGCCTTTCCATCTTCTTGGAAACAATGATTGGGAGAAATATTTTTTCTCCTACTGTGCATAATTCTATTAATCCTACTTTCACCTTAGGCCTTGTATACACTAGTTTACATGGTTAGGCTGACTCAAGTTGTCCTTCCAGGAGTTATGGTCCTTCCATTAGCTCCGCAGTATCTGAAGTAATCAACCTATCCCTTCAATGAACCTTTGTATATAGAGATTGAGTTACGATAGTACATGGAACACTGAGCTACTTTTCTCTTAAATACAAAAGCCATTATTTCACTGTGGAGACTGAAGGCTACTTTGCTCAGCAATATACCAAGGAGAGAACAATTCTTTCCATCTACAGAAACCCATTCTAGAGGTTGAGGAGATCCTCCAAAGCTGATCTGAGGAGACTGGTGTTTGCACAAAAAGTCTTTGGCTTGCACAGCTATGGATTTCATTCAAATCATCAGTGTATGGAAATTACACTTGGAAGCTTGATATTCTAATTTATGGTTGCATATAATTAAAACATTCTATAAATCATACAAAATCAATCTGTACTCCTATCACATAATCTGTGGTCTTTTATCTTATGGAGCTGTGACTTCTTTACTGGTATATGTGTGTTAATGCCATATGCAGGGTGATTTCACAGTCATAAAATTCCTTGAAACTGTAAATATCAGAGACATTAGGTTTAAAAACCGTGCAATCCCATAGCATCTTAAGAGCTATATTATTTATTGTGGCTGAGTTTCATCAAGTGGTAAAATCAGATGATACTGCTCTATTGTGTTGCAGTAGAAGAAGATAATTAATTTCTAAATGAGGTCAAAAGTTGATTTTGGTAAAGACGAAAGAAAATTGTGACTTTGAGATGCCACGTAGACATTTTATAAAATGTATGTCTTATGTAAATTTGTTGCACATCCTTCATCATCTCATGCAGTGTTTCAAAATATAAATTAAAAAATCAGATTGTGGGCCTCAGAGACCAAGTCCGAAAGTTTCAAAGACCAATGGATAAGGCTACTGCTGTCTTCTTTTCTGGCCAGAAGAGGGAGACAAAGGGCATTGGGACGGTATATAAAATATATTTTACAAATAATAATAATTAAGAAGACATAATAAATCAATGCTTCCTTATATCAAGGTTTTGATGAAAGACATAGTTACTCCTGTCCCTCAAGAGGAGGTAAAAGCTGTCATCCGTAAATGCTTAGAACAAGCGGCATTGACTAACTATACTCGGCTATCAGAATATGCAAAAATTGAAGGTAAGGTAATTTAATTCTTAACTTCAATGTTAGCGTCCTCTTTCAAAGAAGATGATTTTTAAAAGCTGCATTAAAAACAAAGATTATCTGCATATATCATTCTCAGATAAGCAGACTTAAATAGATTTTTAAAACATAAAGCAAAATAGAGAATAGAATAATCTTGCGTAGGGCAGTAATCAAACTCCAGCATATATTTCTCTCCATCCCCCCCCCCCAAAAAAGAGAGTGGAATCAACATATCACTACTTGTGACAATGGGTTCGTTGGACAATTGAATGAGCAGAAACTCAGAAATGTTTGCATGGCACTCATTTCTTTAGAAGCTAATTAAAAATGTCTATTTTTCCCTGGATAATGTTTGCCACCTTCCCTTTTTGTATAGCAGCTCCTGTCAAGTCAGTTGGCCTTGTGCTGGCTTCAGATCTCATTCTTGTCACTCTAAATTTGCCGCAGCTGATATTGCTGACCTTTTACATTAGGAAAGAATAACAATTAGTGACCAAAGACACATGTAGCCATCAAAAAGACATTTTAAAACTTGCTTGAAGATACGCTTTTGGCAGGAATCTAATTATACATGCGAATAGATCTTTATGCATTCATCAACTTTCATTGTTACTCGGTTGTTGCTGAATAGTAATGTAAAACTCTGGTTAAATATCTTGCTGTGAAATGTGAAACTGGAATCATGCAATATGGATTGTGGTTTCTTGTCCTATATGAGCCGTGAAGCTTTACTGTGTTCACTTTGAGGAATAACACTAGCAGAATGAATATCACTGTTCAATTTCTTTCTTCTAGTCCTTGCTTGTCAGAAGGTCTGTTGTGATAAGTCACATATTTCCAGGGTCTGTACACTGATATACTTCCTCTCTCTTTCAATGTTTTTCCCCCCCATTGACAATGCAAATTGTGTACCAGTGGTAATGAATTCATTGTTATGCATCCAATGAGAAACACTTAAGAATTGGGCACTAAAAGGATGTTTATCAACTCTTGACTCGGTAATGAGCAGTGAAAATAGAGAAGGAAAGCAGGTCTCTTGAGTGCTGAGCTATCAAGCAATTTATCCAAGCTTTCTACTTCACGGGTTTTAATTGGTGAACTCTGTTACAAATTTCAATGTTTAAATCTGCTTCATGAAGACATGGGAGAACTCCAGTTGAAAAACAGCTTTGGGCTTGTTATTTTCCTTTTGAATAGACCCTGGGCTACCTAGGTCTCTGTATAACCCTCACTAACTTTGTCGGTAAGCTGTGCTCTCTTCTTTCAGATATATCTATGCAAAAACAAACTTTATGATCTGTAAGTAAAAATGCATTCATTTCCCAAAAACATAGAACAGTTAGCGTGTATTTTCCTTTTGTGCCTCAATTCTTCTTGATTGTGTTAATTCTCTGCCCTCTTTTTTTGGCACTGTGACTTTAGGTCTGGGAAACTTTGAAGCAACAAACTTTTTTTTTTAAGTTTTTTTCTCTCTCTCTCTCTCTTTCTCTCTCCTTTTTTTTTTTTTAAAAAAAAATCCAGCTGTTGTTTTCAGAGAAGTACTTCATCCCACACTACCTGCTCTCTTCTGCTTCTCCTTTTCTTTGTTTGTGGTTGGTTCAGCCACTTTTCTATGTTGCCTCTAGAAAAAGTGGTTGCATCAGTTTCAAAGCATGCTGGGATTGTTAATTCAAACAACCCAACATCAGCAAGTTGCATGCCTCAGGTTTTCTCTCATGAGCATAGTCCACTCACTAGGAGTTGCTTTTTTAAATTGTTTTTTAACTTTAAATACATATATATGTATATTTATATGCATATTGTGCAACCTGTTTCCTGAAAGGAGTCTAATCATTTGGAAATGAAATGCCTTATTCCATCTCAATATCTAGAATGCATTAAAATTAAGATAAGTAACGATAATCAGCAATGCTATTTGAGGCTATGTTTATGAAGAAATACCTGTGAAAACCTTAGATACTAAAGGCTAAACTCCTTAGTATCTCGGAGCCTTAAATCAACAGAATTCTATTTCCTTCTGTTTGTGATGTTCTGATCATTATATTCCTACCAAGAATTCAGAACAAACCTTTAGAATCATGGGCACAATCTCTTTTGTGACTCATGAGCATGCTGAATGGTTAATCCAGTAAACACCCAATTTTAAATCTCCTTTTTTATTTTAATTTTCTTTCCTGTATGTATCCCCAAATACTCTACAGCTACTTTCCTTTAAAGCTAACGTAAAGTTTTCCTCTGACCTATGACCTATAACCTCTTTACCTCTGACCTAAGCCTCTTGCATGCCCAAATCCTCTTTTATAGGGAAAAAGAGAGAAATGTATGAGCATCCTGTCTTCTGCTTGGCCTCTCAAGTGATGGATTTAACCATTCGTGAGTACCTTCCTTCCACCTCTCCATGCCACCTTCGCTCTTTTCCGTTGTCATTTCCTCCGTCCAATCCAGAGCCAAACCAACCCATTTTCCTCGCTTTGAGTCTTTTAGCATTGGCTTGTCTGTTGCTTCTGTCTGTGAAAGTCCCAGTGTGAGAGTCGAGTCACTTTTTAATCAGCCTAAAAACCAGGTTAGAAAAATTCAGCCGGTTTTCTTTTTTTGTTTGTTTGTTTGTGACAAACTCCAATTTGTCTGTAAGGTTTTTTTTTTTTTTCCTTTCTTTCTGTCTGTGACCTGAATGCATTTTTACTTTGCTTATGTGTAACCCCAGTTTGTAAACACTTGTCACTGGTACACAATCAAAAGGGAGTTACCGCACCGGGGAGCACGGAGTTACAGTTCAGCTACGAAACATTTCCCGAAAGTTTTTGCTTTCTAAAGTTTGTAACAACCTCTGCATAAAACCACCGAAAAACATCCTCGTTGGACATCAGCTCTTTCACGTCTCTTGTCTGTTATTTCTCAAGCAGAATGCTATTTAAGCTTCTTTCAATAGCAACCTTTGAATAGAGCATATTTTATGTATATTCATTTGCTGATCTAATTCGCAATATGTGTTTGCAGAGTGAAACCACTTCAACACCCATTTGTTTTTCTTTGCACAATGATTAAATTCCTTCTTGGCAAGACACATGGTATTATGATCTCCATGCTTTTAGGTGGGTGGGAGAGATTGGGCAACTTCTTTTCTTTATGAATGTCATATATCACACATAACTGGGGGCATTTTGATCCACTTGCTCATTAATTCTGCATATCTGTTCTTGTTTCTCTCTTTTCTCCTTGTTGCTTTCTCTCTCTTTTATATAGAGAATCAAAAGGATGCAGGTGAACATCTGTATATGCATTATAAATTGCTAGGATTGTTGAGTTATATATATATATATATCTTTGTTGAGTTATATATATATATCTTTGTTTTCTTTTCAAAGCTCCTTAAGATATGTGCTCCGTATAGAGAAACATTGGAGTTGCAGTAATCCTTAAGGAGTTAATTTGTGCTGTCTTACTTCATGTAACTAGTATTGTTCTTTTCCGCCAAGTAAATTTAAACAGAAATAACAATGCAATTTTCTTAGCAGTGAGGTGCAGTCTAACAAAGAAATTATTTGTTCACACACACACACACACACACACACACACACACACACACACGTACATATAGACAAACCCTAACGCACAAAGCCACTTACATTTTGATGCCCCAAAGTATTAACAATCTGGCTTTTTGTTCAAACCACTGTTCGATATATAAACTAATTCTCATTTTTGTTTTTCACATCTTCTGTTTTGGCCCCATTTGGGTAGAATGGTTTTCTTGTTAATGTGTAACTAACAATACAGAGAAATCATGTTTGTCATAATTTTTTTGTTTGTAATGTGGTGGTGTAATAAAGCAAGGAAACAGTTCAGATAAAAAAATTTTAATACTCCCTCAAATCTCTTAGACCTTTGTCATGAATTCTGTATGTAACTATCATTTTTTTGAACTGTCTTACAATCTTAACTGTTACTTTTAGCATCTCCTCTTAGCCTTTCTTTGTGTTTTCTTGGTTTTGAACTGTTTTGGCAGGAATCACTTTTTGAAAGAAAAATTAAACAGAATTTTGTGGCCAATTTTTCCTCAGGTCACATTTGAGGGAAATAGCTGCAACTTGTTTAGTATGAATTTTATTTTTAATTTCACAAGTATTCCCTGACACCACAACAAACAGTATCATACAAGGAGTACAGGGTCATTGAAATGAAGAGTAATATACCCCATTCAACTGAGCAATGCCTTATCCCTCTCAAAAGGCCATAACAATAAAAGCGCTCTGACTCGCCATTCTCATAAGCAATCACATTTTAAACAAGTGTCCACAGCTATGTGCAATTTATACTGTTAATATGTGTCAAGGAAAGAAAGTGCCAGGTGTTTGGCCGTCATCAATGTCTAGATGGAGACACTGCACATGATTAGTGGTGACCCCAACAGGATTAGACATCCTAACTTGTAAAAATGCCTCCATCTGATTAAATGTTGTTGGATTGGCACTGGATATGGATGCACATTGGCAAAAATAGTCAATTATGAAGAAATAGCCTTTACCCAGGCAAACGTAATGAAAAGACTAAAATAATGGTGCTGTTGCTGTGAATCGTAAACATGCCAAGAAACCTGAATATCCAGTCACTAGACTATTTTTATTTCTGAAAAAAAAAAATCACTGGATATGTCCACAGTGGTTCATATCAACAATGCTTGTGAGATTCATCTGTCTCTAGCATTTGGGTGTCTGTAATAATATATGGAAGCTGCATTACTCATCTGGATTACTAGTCTTGAGACATTAATAAAACATTATTTATTTGTCAGCATTATATTTAGTTTTCAGGGCTATTTGCAGGTTATGGTTAAAAAAGCCATTGCAGGCACCATCTTGATATTTTTGACCTTGCCCTGGGGTCACACCTGTTAGATTACTTTCTAGTCCAGAAGCCTCTTCACTGAAAACCTTTAAAAAGTTATAGAATTGGATCTAACATCAGGGAAGGCTGTGTGGATTTATAAAACTACATCCCTCATGCATTTATTTCCAACCTCTTTTTGTGGACATCATACAAACATATGAAGATTTCCATATGTTAGAACACTGTTCTAAATCTGGAGAATATTATTCATTTGCAGGGTTTTTTTTTCATTTCAATCATCTTTATGGGAGTTGTCATAAAATATTTCATGCCACTAAATAACATAGTGACTAAAATTCTAGAGTAATTTGAATTTTGATTATATTTCTTTCAAAAAAAAATACAAAGTTTCCTCCTGAAGTTTAACAGATTTTGAGAATGTACTTCTGGATTGATCAAAATTTGATATGAGTGATTTTATAGTGGTTTATACTAATTAGAATTTGTAAATTAGAGTACTTTTTGTTTGTAATTGTGAATGCGTACCCACTTCAAGTACTTGGTAACCGACCCACATTTACAATGTCCAGCAGACATATTTTACAATATTTTTGCTGAAAACCAGCATTTCCTCCCAGTTTTGGGGAAAACCAGTCCAAGGGGACCATTGATTTGCTTAATGACTGTTGGTTCATTGTGCATTCACTTAGCAAGCATGACATTTGCTTAACTTCTACCAGCAAAACAGGTCATTAAAAATGTCCAATTATGTGATGACCTGTTTTATGACTATCACCACTTTTGATCATGATGGACAAGCTTCATTATGATCATAACCCAAAGGCAGTGGTGGGATTCAGCTGGTTCGAATCAGTTTAGTAGAACCAGTAGTTAAATTTTGTTGAGTTTGGAGAATTGGCTGAACCCATGCTGTTCTGGAAGTCCATTCTAGGCCTCCCAGGCATTGATGTGCATTGATGTCACTTCCGGAAGTCCATTCTAGGCCTGATGGAGGCCTCCCAGGCCTAGAACGGCCCGCCAGAAGTGCATTGATGTCACTTCCAGAAGCCTGTTCTAGGCCTTGGAGGCCTGGAGGAGGCCTCTCAGGCCTAGAACAGCCCACAGGAAGTATGTTGATGTCACTTCCGGAAGTCCATTCTAGGCCTCGGAGGCCCAGGCCTGAATCCATGCAGAGAACTGGATGTTTAGGTATTTGAATCCCCCCACTGCCCAAAGGCTACCTGAAAAAAAGGATGCAACAGAAATCTAAAATGTAGTAAACCTCCACTAACTTGACCTGGGGCCATTTTTAAGTGGAGATATAACTGGTGTCATTCCTAACATCCTGTTCTACAGTCAGAAGAAAGGTACCACTGTGTTATAGAAACCATCAGCATTTCTCCAGTAATAAAGGAGCCAAGTTGTAGGCATAATCATAACAAGGATATTTTTAACTAAGTTTTGTATTTTGGAGTGTGGACTTCTGTATGAATTGAGGAAAAAGAGTCCGCTCTGGTAGCACAAATGCCATATATGCGTTAATTTATAATATAAAAGAGAAGCAGAGGCCAAGTTGTAAGGATAGCCATGTCAAGGGCAGTCCCAAATTTCAGTGATGCTATGGCATACTGAGAGTACAAAACTCCTGTGGGTTTCTCGAAGTGGGTTTCTCCTTCCTTAGCTCCAGCAGAAATCCACACCCAAAACACAAAACTGAAAAGAAATAAGAGTAGAGAAAGTGCCTGGCATGTTAAACTCTGCCAGTCACCTGGGGGGGGGGGAATCTCTACTAAAGGACAGTAATGAATAATGTTTAGCAAGTGAAATCAATGTCCCAGAGGTGTTGTCATTTCCTAATTGTCCTCCAGTGTGCCCTGAGTGGTCAGGATGCTAGCAGCTCATCAGTAATTCTTCAGGGTAAAATGTATGGATGGCTGGATAATTCTCAGAATTGGATGGCTCAGTGACAGGACTGGAAGTCAGGACAGCTCCATTCATTTCAACACCTCCTCATACCTTACAGGGCTGCAGATATGAACCCTCCCTCTGGACAGAGATTTCTGCAAAGCAGCCCTGACTTTTGCAATCACAGGGGACATGCTTGAAAACCCCCAGTAAACATCGCAGCAATTCAATTGACAGTTCCTCTATGGAGTTGCCTGTTCACATCTACCTCTGCAGAAGCACTACCCATTTCTCTTGTACGCCAGCCAGCCAGCCAACCAGCCCTGTGCTTTTTGAAGCTATTGACACTGAGGCCAACAGCTAATGTAAATCAGCCCTAGGAAGCTAGATCTGTTTAGAAACACATACACGCATAAATAAAAAGGCAAAGTTCTCCACTTTTTTTTTTATCAAAGCGAGTAAATTTATCTTCAAAGCAATAAGGATGGGCGTAAATTTGGACTTTCAATAATGTAGCAATTTGATGTTCTTCCTACTCCCCACTGCCTTTGTAACATAGCATGCAGCAATTATGTCTCCTGCCAGTGTTTGGCAGGAGATATCGCTATGCACTCACTGGCATCAGCAGGGAATCAGCAGGGGTATTTTAATGATTGTGGTGGTGCTTGGTGCAGACTGCAGGAAAAATGCACAGATCCTCCCATTTGCCTTCAAAAATACTTTTTTTGTTGCTGTATTCTACAAATTCAGTTAGAAAAAAATAACAACAGCCAAAAATGGATAGAAGTTGTCAATTTGTTGTCAACAGCTCAATCCAATCTACAAGTCACATGTTCTGTGTTTTAGGGGCAACTTGATAAGGCTAGCCACTGCAGCCATTTTGCTTTGGGGATGTTTTGTTTCTCAACACCCCCGTCTTCTTCATTCTCCTCTCTGGTTTTCTTGATGCACAAGACGTAGACAGTGGAAGTTGCCTAAAGACATCACAACGGAAGTTGAATTGAACCAGGCCCCCTGGATAGGTGTAGCACTGAAATGCCAAACAGCTTCAAAATTTATTTTCTGTCCAGGTTGCAACAGATGTCTGGCAGAAATGCACAGCTGCTGGCAAATTCAAATGCTAAAACATATTTAAAGATGGTGGCACAGTTCGATTGTAGTTGCACTCTTGGGCTTTGTGATTGTTCTCTGGTTTTGGCACCCTCGGAAAAATGTCTCTTTGTGGAATACCAATCACCTGGGACTCACTCAAAGAAATGCTCTCCTAAGAAGGATTCCATAGTTACTAATACACCAACTGAGGGTTCCATTTATGTGCACTGGAACCCTCAGTAGGTTTCAATATCCATAACTTGTTTGGGTGAGTGTGGGATGTGTATTGATAACAATTTTCACAAAGCTTGTGTTTCTAAAAAGGCATAGATCTTACCACAAAAGTCAAGGAGAATCACTCTTTCCAACCTGTCCTTTTCTTATCCATATTATACAGAAGGTGACTAGAGAGAGATTGTCCTCCATTTCTAGTTATA